ACCACTCTGTCTCCAGTGTCCAGATGGCACCTTGCACAAACAGGCACTTCCTTGGTCCAGGTTTGTTGATGGCGAGCACCATGGTTGGTTTTCTGTCTACCTGGAATGAGGGTGGGGATGGAGAGATGGGCCTCTGTGCTCCACTCACTGGGGCCCTTGTTGATGGCTATTGAAGCAATGAGACCCAGGGGGACAAGCGCACTGCTCACAGCCCCCTCCCCCACAGACAGGGGCTGGGGAAGAAGGAGGAGGTGGGAGGGAATGGTCTTCCCGGTTCCAGACTCCAGGACTGCCAGGAAGGGGCGCTGAGCCCAAGTGGAGGCTGGGGGAAGGGCAGCGCAGGGGGTGCTAATCCCAGCTTCCTGTCTGGATTTTCCTTGACTGCTGCTCTGGGCCTATCTTAGGATGGTCACAGCTGCCGAAATAGATCTCCCCCTTCACCTGTTCTCATGCGACACAGACCTTGCTAACTTCCTGGCAGAAGAATGCATGCTTTGGTAACTTTTCCAGTAACGGGGGACAGTCCTGAGGACGAGGGTGCTGAACTCACCATAGTCTTCCACCTCTGAGGAGCAGAGGCTCACCTCGGCCAGGAATCAGAGAGCAAACCACCGCGGGGAGAGACGAGGAGCTGGCCAGGTGTTTCCGGACAGAGCCCCGGCCTCTTCCGCCAATCTGGCCGGTGCTTCCTTCCTTGGTCGGCTCCAGAAACCACTCTGCCCGCAGGCGCCCCTCTCTCTGGATGACAAGAGTGACTGGGCACAGAGCCCCTGCCCCCAAACCCACTCCTACAAGATTCTCTATTTCTTCTGAACTCATGGGCTGAGTCAATCCGCCTCTGGGACTCCGAAACGAGCCTCCCCAGCCACTCACTTATTCACTCGACAAACATGCCCTGTCCCCCCCAGGCCCAGGACTGGGGATGAGCAAGGGTGGGAGGGACAGGGGGATAAGGCCCGGTGACCTGCTGGAGCACCGGCGCGGCGGGGTTGGAGGTGGACACCCGGAGAGGGACCAGCCTCCTGGGGGTGGGGAGGGCTCCTCGGAGGCGGCGGGAAGGGGAGGGGCTAGGGTGAGGGAGGGGCTGCGATTTGGAGCGGGCCTCGCGCATGCGTGTGAAAAATATTTTGGCGTCCCCGGCGTCGCCATGGTAACCTTGGCCCGCCTGCCATGGCCTCTGGGGCTGGCGGGAGCTGGGATCGCTCCCCACCGCAGAGTGCAGCCCCGACGGTGAGGGCTGAGCCGGGAGCAGAGCCGTTCTGGGGGGACGGCGGAGTGAGGAGCGGACCCTGGACGGGCTGGACCCTGGAGCGGGATGGGGCAGCGGGGAGGAGAGAGACCTTAGACCCAGAGCAGGCGGCTTGACCCGGAGCGGGGAGGCCGTGGGGGCGGGGAGGAGGAGCCCGGCCCCTGCAGGGTTAGGGAGGTGACTCAGGGGTGGAGGTTGGGGCTCACGACGTGCCCCCACTCCTTCCCGCCTGGCCTGGCTGAGTCTCCCTCCACACGCCCCAGCCCTGGGTGACCGTCCTGCAGCCCCTCGCGTGGCCCGTCCCACCCCCGCCCTCGCAGCCGGGCCGCGTGAAGGAAGGTGAGACTCGGGGTCACCCCCGCAGCCCCCTCTGGCCCACACATTCTCTCGGCGTCCCCTCCCCGCCATTCCACGCCCCCGGGGCTGGGCGTCGGGGAGGAGGCCTGGGGACGGGACAGGGGTGGCAGCGGGGAGGGGAGCCCCGCGAGGCATGCAGAACCCGCGTCCCCCAGATCTGCTGGAGCTGATGATGCTGCAGAACGCGCAGATGCACCAGCTGCTGCTGAGCCGCTTGGTGGCGGGGGCGCTGAACCCCTGGCCTGGCCCGCCTGGCCCACAGGTGCGTGGGGGTGGGGCCACTGCTGTCGCTTCCCTGCGACTCCAGGGGTGGGGAAACACCTGGGGTCCTCCTCGATGAAAAGGACTGGGTGACCGAGTCGCAGGAAGGCCACCACACCTCTTTGGCCAGGGCTGTTTGGCGGCTATTACCTATCAGGCACTCTCAGGCCCATGTCAGCCTCCATAGGGGACTGGGTGGTCCCCATGCCTAGACCTCCCGGGTCTTGCTTTTAAGGAGGTTTCCCTGCAGCGCCTCCCCCACTGGACTTCAGGCCCCAGGAGCGCAGGCA